TATGCAAAGAACATAATTAATTTTCCATTTATTTTTGTTAGAGGTAATGGAGGGAGAAGGCAAGGCTTTATTTTTTTCCTGTTAGGCCAGAAGTCACAAGTTCAGTTGTGCTAGAGTGCAAACATTTGCTTGTTGCTGGCCTCATATTAACCTTTGCCTCAGTTTTAAATGGTAAAATAAGCGGAGGAGTGAAAATATTCGCAGCACTATGGTGTGCCCAACTTTGTTTCCAGGTTCCAGACTATATTCCACGCCAGGATCCTTTGTGAGATGGATTATAGGTTCTGCTTTTCCTCTGGGCTTTTCAGCGATTCTCTCACTTCAGAATGTCTATAATTTCACCTCTATAAATGTTATGCAAACATTTTGACAGGATTTTATTTGGCAACCTTTTATGGAGCAGTTTGTTTAAAAAATATATAACTGGACAAAATGAGCCGTTGCCGAAGGAAATGCATGAGTGCTGCAACTTTATATATCTTTCTTAATTGTGTGAATAGTCGGTGAATTTATACCGACATCTGTCAAAAATACATTTTACTTCACTATGTGAAGGATTCTATTTTCTGTGCAGGTTGAACACAAATGTATACCCTCTTCTGGTAATTTCACAATCATTTTAATAGTTAACTATTGAACAGAATTGAAAAATGTTTTCCAAAAATTCTGTCCCGTAATAGAAAAATCTGCTGACTAACATTAAATAATGTAGCAGTCTGTGGGTTGTAGTTCAACCAGAAGTTCTTTTGAACATTTTTATAAGATTGAGTTTCACAGCAATACAAACATACCACTAATAGCATAACTCGTAAACATTTGCATAATCACTGAAATTTGAAGATGCTATTATGTGCGTTATATTTGGTTATTTACGTTGTTTTGGGATTTAAAATCTGGTTGCTCTGCTCAATTGTGTCTATACATTCACCACCATTATATGAGAGGTGGCATGCTTTGTTTGCGTAGTTAGTTTAAAAGAGGGTTTGTCAACTGATTTTAGCAAAGGTTTTAAGTATTGAATCTGGGTTTACAGTCTACCACTGGATAATTTGTTTACTTTTTGAAAATATATATTTTTAATTTCATCCCAGTTTTTAGAAAAGTTTTCACCTTTGTAAATCCCTCTGTATTCACATCCTTTATAGTATTATTTACCCAATACTATAGTTATGTGGATGTAGCATATATGGAGGACTGGTGTGTTTGTTATGGTATGAGAAAAGTTAAATGAAAGCAAATAAAACCAATTTGGCGCTTTTTTCGTGAAGTGTCGCACATTTTCTCCATGTAATAATTGAATGTCCCGTATTCAATTCAATCAAAGATGGAATTGAAGTCATAGATGGAATAGTTACCTGTCACATCCATAATCCATAAAGGCTAGTTGTCTGTATATGAGAAAATGTTTAAGAAACCTTGTGGAAGGTTGTAAGAGGGACAACTTCTTCCTAGGGAGACCATCAATGGCTATCTACTTATAGTTAAAATTTGTGAATCTTAACATTTGTAAAAACTGCTTTAACTAGAACATGTGAGTAGATGAGCCTTACTTTTTAACCCTTTTGAGCACTTTTACAATTTTTTTTTACAAATATTTTTTCCTTAGATTACACAATACTTCCACAACAAACCTGAAATTTTACAAAAGAAATTCAAAGAATTTAATTTTGTTATTTTCTTGCTGCAAAAACAACTTTTGTGTTTTATCTAACGCACTTAGATCAAATAAAATCTCATTTTAAAATCTCTGTGGTTTTTTTCTGCACATGAAAACATGGGCCATATCACAGCTCTTATACTTCCAATGGTTATCCCTTCTTTTCACTGCTATATGGATACGATTTAGGGTCTGTAAAACGAAACTGTAAGACAAGTATTTTCTCATGTTTTAATTTGAATTACCTTGTAAATTGTCTGTTAAAACTCTTGTAATGTTCATTTAATACCAAAAAATATCAAAACTAATAACCTTTTTAAAGCCGACACATTATTTTTTTAATCAAATTTAAACAATAGGTGGGTCACGTCATCCCTTCTTAATTCAAAGTGGCAGTGTGATTGGCACACTCACCAACGTATGTGCGCAGAGACTTCTAAGGTTAAGCATAAAAAAGTATAAAAAGTACTCAAAAATCTCTTTATACAAAAGTTAACAAAGTTAATACATTGCTTTGCTATAACAAAACTTGCTTCAAATGGTCCTTTATTTTAATTTGAAGAATATTTAACACGGCAATCCACATACTGTACATTGCTGCATCATCAGCACAGGAGCTTGAAAGATTTGTCGTTTTCTGAGACATAATTCTGTTCTACTGAGGTGAATCCATGCGTTCACTTCTTAGAATTTTGAAATGACCAAATTTATCATGGGACATATGGGACATTATCAGCCAGGCACATGGAGCGAGGGGAAATGAGAGAGGAGGAAACCAACCACAGCTGTTCAGCCTGAAAGGAAGTAATAACTAATCGACAGCGTTTTTCCATTAATTCGCATGCTACTTCCTCACATTCGTGTTTGCTCTGCTCTTAAAAGGATTATTTACCTGAGTGCAGGTCTTTATTACTACGTTGAATTTAATCATACTGTAAAATCAGGGCCGAGCCACTGTTGCAGGCTCCATCGGAACATTTTGGACTGATGATGAATTTGCACCCAGCCCTCTGTAATCATTTATCAATGTTCACTGCACTCCCAATTACCGAAGAACGTGGGGTGTAATGAAGGCAGATGATTTCATTTACCAGGAGGGTTGCTCATGCTGTACAGTGTGCGTCAGGCTGTGGATGGGAGACAGGGAGGGTAGAGGGGCACAGGTGGCAGCTGGCACACCTGCATGCGGTATTTCATGGAGAGCTTGTAAAGGTCTGGGATTCCCATGAGTTCTGCAGCCCTCTACTGGAGCTCTGAGGCACAGTTCTGCAAGTATTTTTTTTTTTTTATGTGTTGTTCCCGTTTTGCCAAATCAGATAATAATGAATGAGATTGTTGATAGTTACGAGAAGATTAGAAGTGTTTTTGTAAAACAAATAAAGTGGGACGTCTAACATTGGAATTTGGGCCAAAATTAGCCTTTCATGCTTTAGATCTCCCATGAGCTTCCTCCTTTCCAGCAAACAAATGCAATGTCTTTCATCAGTGTTTTGATTTCTCTTGAAACTGATTGGGTTCTTGGTTTATTACTCTTTCAGTTGTTTTGGCTGCAGAGCTCTGTACGGTTGTTCAGTGCACCTCACAGCCTCTCACAGACTGGTAATAAATCAAGGCTGTCTCATCCCCCCAGGCTCAGAGCCAGAGCCCAGACCAATATTTAACTTTCTAATTAAAGAAGAACTCTGCGAAAACACTGGAACTCATTTCTCTCCTTTATTTGATAACGCATCATCCTCTAGAAGAGTATTTGCATTTCTAAAAGAAGGTTTAGACTCTTCTGTTTGACTGGCTTTTCATGTTGAAGGAACTGGGGCTTATCCTCCATGTCAGGAAGTCTTGTGTTAATTTGCTTCCTTGGTTAAGAGCCATTTTAAACAAGTCACTGTGGACACCAGTAAAACAATCTCTGGGGGCAACATAAAGGGATTGATTCCGTATAATCTAACATTGTGTAAAATCTATGTGCATAATATATTCAAAATTTAGATTTAGTTGTAGATTTGCAAGACATGACCCGTAGATGCCATAGTGGAGAATTAAGTCTCATCTTCAAAATGTAAGTAAATGGAACTTATATTGAGGGCTTAGAAATGCTGGGCCTTTTTTAGCCTTTTTTACATAATTAATACATTCCCCCAAAAAAACAATAAATGAAAAAAGCAACGAAGAGAGGCAAACCTCTCCTAAACATTAGACACAGTTCCAAGCACTTTTTGTCCCATTATGCTTGCTTTATGCCAGATCTTTGAAAAATACAAGCCACATCACAGGTCTTATATAGGGTTGTCCACTCATTTCACCACTAGATGGCACAGATGGCACCAATTTTAGATCTCTAAAATGAAAGCGCATTTTCTCCCATTTTAACTCCAATTACCTTGCAAAATTATGCTTCATAACTCTTGTGATGTTCATCAAAAATATCAAAACTTATAACCTTTTTGAAACCTAAACATTATATGTGAAATCAAAATCGAGCAATAGTTTGATCGCATCATTCCTACTTAATTCAAAACAAACCGCGTGATTGGCACATGCTGTGATGCGTCGATCCGTGCAGAGACATCTAAGGGCTTGATTTCTGTTCAAAATGGTCGTTATAGATCCCTTGATTGTCGGTGGTTATCTATGTGCTGGACAAAGTTCAATGGCTTCAGCTTGATCTAAAATGAGGAGGAAGTGGGCATGGTGATATCATGACTCCACGTGTGATGGATTCTGAGCATGTGTGGACTCCTGCTTGCTATCTGCTTATAAAGACGTGCGATAATGGGATAATTGAGAGGATGGCCTGTCCAATCAACATAACACGAAACACATCCTTAATCTCAACCCTTTCACAACTACAATAACTATAATAGTAAAAACTACAAAAACTATCTATAGTAAATTGCATTTAACATTTAATACTCTGCACTAGGAGACTTTTTTCAAACTGACCTACATATGACTGAAACATAAAGTGATTTGTGTTACGTTGAATAACTCAAAGTCATGTGACTGCAGTTCCTGTCAGTAGAGCCGTTGCTGGTGCGTGTCAGACTGGTCCAGAGCTTTGCATTAAGGATTAGATTAGAAATGTGATTTCATTCAATCATTCAGCTTTCCTGAGGCTTAGTTGGTAGAACATTGTGCTACCAAGACGAAGGTCGTGGGTTCAAATCCCAGGGAAAGCAGGTGCCCTACATATGCACCTACATACATTCAATGTAGCCATACTCACCAAAATTGTCAAAGTGTCAAAATAATAATAAATAATAATAACTGGATATTTACCACTGGGACGAATCCAATCGCTTTTGATTTAGAGTGTCATCTTCCTCCCCAGACTTTTTCCCCAACGAGAGTTTTTGTTTTGCCAGATCCATCAGAGCAGAGGGTTTAAACTACCAATCATTGCATGTTTTGTTCCATAAAGGAGGAGTTTTGTATGAATGATTAATAAAACGATTTATTACTGAGTCATTTACAAATCTGGTAGAAAAATAAACGTGTATTAAACTATAATTTAAGTGTTTTTTTTTTACTTGGATGCATTTCTACCTGTTGTTGGAGACTTCCAAAACCAATATTAATAGTGATATAGGCTATTTCCAAGAAAAATGATCAAAAGCCAATAAAGTTGACATGGGTCTTGGCTGTATCCACCTACAGAAATCTATTGTAACAATCTCAACTCGATTGACTTTCTTTACAAAAGGCATTTGTCGCTTTCTTTTCGAACCCCACATGAGAGGTTAATGCCTTCTGATGGCAGCTGTGGTATGGGCCAAGTCAAGCTGAGCCTGTTTTTGTGATTAAACAAAATGAAATTACTGCCAGCAAATGGAAAGCATGATTGATTTTCTCGGCAGATACGGTGTGCTGCTACGCAAAGGCTTGTTTAACTTTATCACAACAAATCCAATAACAGCTGACACAGTTTCACTCTCCCTGGTCAGGACCTCGTCTGGCTCAAATGTGTAAATAAATACAAATTTTGCCAGGATGCATATTTTGTGGGCTGTAGACAGCAGAATCATATATGATTGGACTATATGAAACTGTGTGGATGTGTGTAAGCCATAATTTAAACATGCTGTCTTCATTTTGCTTGAATGTTACCATTCTCCCTGCTGCCACAGCAGAACGGAGATGATTAATTATCCGCCTCTCGTCTGTAATGACTTCCATTACTGGCCACTTGTGATTAATTAGTGACAAGATAGAGTGTGTATGCTACCTCCCTGCCTGACCGAATCATACCCCCTCTACCGCCAACTGGACAGACTCTCTTGCTATGGTTTATTGGACAAAAAGGCTTATGTGTGCTGCAATAAGAATCAATATGTCTCTTTGATGCCCAAGGACAATTCTTTTTTTTTGAAAGTGGGAACGATCAAGTCACAGTTAGGGCTTTCAATTACATTTCATTTGCGATACATCAAGATAACATGTTAGGATGTAAAAATGTCCAATAATTGGGCAATAATTGATGCATCAATTAACATTTGAGGACTTGAATAGCTCCATCTCCAAATCTCTTTACCTAATTTCTGTATCCGTTGTCATGAGGTGAGGCACACACATTCTTTAGCCCCAACTGCAGTGTTTATTATAGCACCCTGAAACATGACTCTCGTAAAAAAAATGGCTCTCTCAATTTTAGTCCGTGTTATATTTTGAAGTCCAGGAAGACTTTGCTGTAATAAATTTATTTTGTGGCAATGCTTGATGTAATTTTTTTTTCACACCTTTTTTTTACAAGATTTTTAAAATTGTAAAAAATAAAATCCAATTCAGAGCATACATTTTTTATGAACAGTTTTTATGTTTTGTAACAAAAATCTAAAGTGCTGTGACACTTAAAAAAGAAAAGGTCAAAACAATATAACAATTATTTTTTGTGTAAAATAACTGAAAAATACAAGCCATATCACAGGTATAGTACTTCCAAGGGTTATCCCTTCTTTTCACCACTAGTTGGCACTTTTTGGTGGTCTGGAAAATGAAAGACGATCGCAAATTTTCTCATATTTTAATTTGAATTACCTCACTAATTATGTGTCATAACTCGTAATGTTCATTTAAAATGTAAAATATAAAATAACATTTTTGAAACCTTCACATTATATTTGAAATCAAAATTAACAATAGGCCAAAAAAAGTGCCAAACCCAAAACATGTTTTGACCATTTTAAATTGCTGCATTCTTACCAAAATCAAGCAACCATCCACTGCTTACAAAAATGTTTTGTAATAAAATACAAAAAAGTGATTATAGAAATTATTACATCAAGCATTTTTAACATTAGAGTTTTGTGATAATTAAAAACACTGGATAGATTTTGATAGTAGGACATTAACACACACAATATTAAACCCAACTTCCATTCAAAAACTTGGAAATATTGTAATTTTTTTTGCTAAATTTGATCCCTGATTTACATTTTTAGCCCAAAATAAATGTATTTAATCTGAAAAATCACATGAGGCTCCAGGGCCCTTTTTATCCTCATATAAGGATGAGCCGTAATTAAATAATATATGCAAAAAAGTTGGTGCCAACACTGACTTGTTTTTAGATCTCTATTACACCAAATTAAAGTCTTAAACCCTGAAAGTTCTGATAGTTTTACATAAAAATGTTGCAAAAACGGTGAAAAAAAAATTCCGACCCAGAACATTTTCTTTCCCTTTGACCCTTGTGGTTCAGCACCTTCAAGGACCTCCTCTTGGACAAAGTGGAAAGCACAGATATAAATTTTGTTTCTTTGGTGAAGTTCCTGTGATATGCTATTTGTTTGAAGGAGCATATGATTCTTTGTTCTTAGTGATGTAATAGATGAGTTCTGAAGAGAGGAGAGCCATCCTTGTTTTATCCGAGGGGGCCTGATCTGTCTCCCTAGAGTTCGGCAAATCAGAACAGGGACTTTGTGTGTGACATCATCTCAGAGCAATGCATTATTAATGAGGGAACTTCTGAGGTAAAGACTTGCTACAGTTATACCTTCAGAATAACTTTGTAATTCTAGTGGCTGATATTGTGTAAATGATTTGGTGGAGGCCAAAAAAAATCTCCCAAAGCGATGACAGAATCTGATTAGACCAGTACCCTTTCAGTATAAAATGATAACCAAATTTAAAACTTGAATCTTTTAGAGCTACATCTTTTTCAAAGTGGTTTGAAGGTCATATATTCCCTCGATCCGATCCCTTCTGCTTTTAGAAATAATCCTTTCTGATTTTAGACTCGACGTGGTTTATAGAATATGACTGTGTTGTGGCCTTGCGGAATGCTAACAAGCATTTTTAAACATCTCTGAATTGTAAAAAAAAAAATCAATGTGAGACATCGATTCACGCTTCAAATTAGATTCTATCAAACCATGCCCGTGATGAAGATGCTCATGAATTTGCCACCGGGAAACTGCCAAGTGTTTGCTCTCTACTACTCTCTAGCTCCCCAAAAAAACAGGAAACTGATTTTCCAGCTATTTCTAAACATAAGATAGGAGGAGTTGTTTTTCCTGCTTCTGAATCGTTTGCTCTTTCCGCTTAGGAGCAAGATGAATGGGGTGTGTGATTGCATGGTTATCAGAACTTTGCCAAGCTTGATTAACCAAAGCAGTGGGGAAACGTTAAAATGCTTTTGCTACACAAGTAAAAAATGAGGGCGTTCGGGATCTGCCGGGCCGTGTGAGGGTGTGTGGAGGTGAGAGCTCAACAGCTGAGCTGGTGGATTAGTCTGGATTGACAGCTTGTGTATTATCTCCTCACAGTCTCCACATGGGAATGAACGACCTTCTGACTTTCTACGATGGAGATGACCTAACTGCGAAGGTCCTGGGCCAGTACAGCGGCACACGTCCTCGCTTTAAACTCTACACCTCCATGGCAGATGTGACAATCCAGTTCCAGTCAGACCCAGCCACCAACATCTACGGCTACAACAATGGATTTGTGGTGCACTTTTTTGGTAAAGACACATTTACATTTTTTGCCGTTTTTCTAGTTGTTATTTTAGTGCACCCTCTATATAAGTATGATTTTAATTTCCCATTGTAACTGAAATACTTGCATTTGGCTATAAAAAAGAATGGAAAAATTCTGTAGTTTGGATAAATCTGTACATAAATGGATGGGTTGTAAAGTCTCAAAAAGAGAAAGACTCAACCAGTGGCTCTTTTGAACAGCTTTATTAGATTATGTTTCACAGCAATATGAATATACCACCAACAACAAAACTCATCAACATTAGCTTAGTCACTGAACAGTTCGCTATCCACGACATTTTGTGCAACATTCTTCTAAAAAGTTGGACGTCCAGTTGACCATGGACAACATTTCAAATTTTTTCTTGCTGTTTGTTGTATTTTGCTCAAAGAAAACAAAATGCACAAATACAATAAATTCATGTAGCAGAGGTAATAAAGCATGTTTGGTACCATTCGTAATTCGTGTAATATCATCACGCATCCGTAGCAACATAATATCATTTCTAAAACAGATTGTGACTGTTTCATTACAAAGAATGTTATCAAAAAAACAAGCAGTGATTCGTTAAGAAATAAAGTTATTTGTAAGTCAACAAATGGCAACTTTTCATTTTATATCAACACACACACACATGCACACGCACGCACACACACACGTGTATGCGCTAACATAAACATATATATATAATACTGCAACGTGTAACAAGGTGTAAAATTATGTCCATGATATAAAATGCATCACAATATTTTACAACACTTTTTATTTATTTTATACAATTAGTATTTATTTTAACCAACTATTGAAACTGTCATTAAAAAATGGAATTTAAAATGTTGCGACTACTAAGCTAAAAAGGCTAGGGTTTAGTTTGATTTAGTTTGATTTATGATACCATCCATCCACTAGGGGGCAGTGTTTATGAATGTATTAAGTGATCCTTTTTGCTGTAAGTGAGAGCAAGTTTTATAATCTTTCTTGTTTAAAATGTGTAAAGGATAATTGTCTTCTAGTAAATATTGCCTGAAACAAGACGGCAAGGTAAAGAAGTTTCAGAAGTGACTAGAATCACAATCACTCCAAGAAGCAAATACACTTCAGAACCTAGTCGAAATCTCCCAGTAGACAGCGTGACAACTTTGTATTGTGATATAGTGTGCCACATTATATTGTTTCCATCACAAAAAAATGTATTACTTAT